GACTGCACGTTACAACAAAACGCAGGGAGTGCATGGAAAAAAGTGTCATGTTCGTCTAACAAGCGGTGTTTCGTTGAGTTTCAGATGAAACTATTATTTATTATGATAATATTTATTAAGATATCTATATGTAAGTACACCCATTGATCTGTGGATTAAGAAGCCAAGGGAGGGGGTTGGAGTCCAATGTACCCTTTCACTGAGTTATCACTGTGGTTAACGATTTATTTACCAGACAGCTAAAATTTTAAAAAAGTGTGATGACACAATATTACAACAACATCACAAATAAATCAGTAAGAGAAGGAAAGAGAACAGGTGCTTCCTAGACAACCAAAGCAAGTTATATCCGTAGACCTGAAGAGTCCGCGCAGCTCTCAGCTTTAATTACCTTTCGGTGTTGTTAGCAAATAAGAAAAGGAGAAAAACATCAATGCAAATAAAAGTATCGGATCTCGATTTTAATTATGTTATACTTATTTTTATTCAAAAGAGTAATTAACCGTCGTAGGAATTCATTCCTCAAGGTGAATTAAAGAAGTAATCAAGAACAAAGTCTAAAATGAAATAAGCAACAGTAAGCGATTGCTTCGGTTTACATGGCTCACCCATTTGCTTCGCAGCCTTTGCTACTTGCTCTCGTCACCATGCATGGTGTGAGAGCTTCAGTGGACCTCGTTGATGTCCTTGGCAGGCTTCACATGGGACTCTTCTTGTGTCGTTTTCGATATCACGTTGCCATCGATGTCGATGTCATCGCACACACGGACGTTTGGCAGCAACAGAGTCAGCGGGATGATCAGGAGCGGTAAGAGGATGTGACCGACAATGACGAGCCACGGGCCATTTTTGAAGTCACACGGCGGAACACTTTTGATGGGCCACACATACTCCATGAGGATGGCACCTATCGAGATGCTGGTGACTGCACCGAGGTTGGCGAAGCCGGCTAAGAGCGCATACACCGTGCTTTCGGAGCCTCGTGGGCAAAGACGCGACACCAGTACCATAACTGGCATGATTGCAACCATATGGCACATATGTCCAATGATGGCGTCACCACAAACGTACATGGCGTGATCGGGAATGCCGATCTTTACATTCCAACGCTTGAGCATGATAATGTCGAAGACGGAGGCAGACACCCATAGAAGGGTTGTTACAACCAAGCATAAACGGTATCTCCACCTCAAGAAGATATATCTGAACGCCGTGATACCGACTAGACCAGCCAGGTTGCCGATGATACCAACAGCAATAGTATTGTAGAAAGTATTTGAGAAGTGCGGCCCGTCAGGAAGGCAATTTTCTTTAGCGAGGTAGAAGCTGTCCAGGAGACCTGGTAGCTGTATGTATAGCATCATACTAAAATAAACCATGACATTAGCCTTTGCAATAATCAGTGGCAGTGCCCAGAAGGACATCACGGAGCACACCAGCGACACCACTACGCAGATAATAAGCAACCCTAGCTTACCTGCGAAGAGGTTGCCAAAAGCCATGATTATGGCCGCGGTTGTTATGATAGAGCTGTATACAACAATCCTGTTGTTCCGAATGACGACCTCCTTGTTGATCTCGATAAGTCCACGGCAACAGATGATCGGCTGCGGCAGCAGAAACTCTGGGCTCACCTCCAACAACTGTAGAGCCTTTCCCTGATCCACATCGAGACTGCCTTCCCTCCCCTCCTTACTGTATAGGGCTTTCCCCTTCTCGAGCTCCAGGAGTAGCTCCTTGTGCATAATACGTGCGTCCTCAATGCGCTCCTCGCGGTTCATCTTCTCGCCGTACAGATTGAAGAAGTAGATCAAAGATGCAAGGAACTGAAGCCCAGCGGCGATGAACACACCGACTTCCGGCATCTTAAGATCCGATAACGGCCCCTGGAGGATAGAAGCCAAGAAACCCCCCATGGTCACGATCCACCAGACCCAGCTCACCAGTGCCGGCCCAGACTCGGGGATTTTACGCATAAGACGGCTGTAATAGCCTTCGGAAAGAATGTCCACAGTGGCAACACCATAGCTACTCAGGAATACAAAACCGGCAGCAATGTTACCAGATGACGGATTGGCTGGCAGCAGGCCGTAGAGCAGTGCGAAGACACCGCCCACCACACACGAGGCAAACATGTACCAGCGCTTGGTGTAACCGAAGAAGGCGAATGTATCGGATAGCATGGCAGTAGAAGCCTTCATGGCCCAAGCAATCTTCATAACGGCTAAGAGCCGCTGGTAGAGGGCAGCATCTATACCAAAACGTATTTGAAACATAGGGTAGAGAGAGAAAGTAAAAATATTAAAAGCGATACCCTTACAAAGCAGGTAGGAGAGAGCGAGGCTGATGACGCACGCGGGGCCGTATGCCGCGCAGGCCTCGCCGAAGATGGGAATGCGGCATAGCGCCGGTGCGTAATCGAAGAGGCGCTTCGCGCTTGGGTGGAGGAGAATTCCGGCGTCGTCCTCGGCGGTACTGAAGGTGCGGTCGGGCTGCCGATCCGCTTCCTCGACGCCGTACGGGTGAGGGATGCCCACATGCCTCGCGATTGGGTCCATCGTGAAGTGATTGATTGCTTCTGGGGCTCACCTCAAAAGCAAAAAACCTCTTGACGTTATGGCAACAGTCCCTTGTTGGATTCCTTTCAAATGGCTTTGTGGCTTCTCACGTGCGTCAACCTATTCGCTGTGGCGGTGGGCTGCAGAAGGGAAGTGTATCGGTGTATCGGTATGTCTGTTATGAGGCTTAGCTAGAGACAGTGTGGGGAGAAACAAGGGAAAGAGAATACTAAATTAGCGGTGAACCGAGAAGAACAGGACGGCGGCACCCCTACCATCTTCACAACGACGCTTGAGAAAAAGACAGATTAACCGCCGTAAGCTCTGGAAGGGGTGCACTACACTAAGAGAGGATCTGGGAAGGAATTGTTAGTGCCCCAACGAATTTTTACGAAGAGATAGAAAAAAAGATAAAATAAAATGGCAACACGTACATACCTTTTTTTTTAATAATTTCACTAGATTTATTCCGTAAAAAGTAGGATTTAGTTTCTCTGGTTAGTAATACCTCGCGATTATATTAAAACCAAAGAAAAAAACCCCTGTGGCCCAGCTAACCGTTCGGCGTGTGATCTCCAGATGGAAAGTGGCTGCACGCTACAACAGAACGCAGGGAGTGCATGAAAAAAGTGTCATTAGAACATACTACTCAGTGTACGGATTGAATTTTTAATTACTACAATACTGAATCTAAAACAAAGAGGAAGATTAAAAATGTTTATTTATACTGAGAAATCAATTAAATGTGTACCGATGTACAGATACC